CAGTCTGTGTGTCTGTCTCTGTGTGTGTCCAGTCTGTGTGCGTGTGTGTGTCTGTCTCTGTGTGTGTCCAGTCTGTGTGCGTGTCTCTCTCTGTCTCTGTGTGTGTGTGGTGTTAACCGCACGCTGCTCTGCTCTCAGTACGACGCAGTGAGGATCACGCAGCTGTATGAACAGGCCCGCTGGGCCATTCTGCTGGAGGAGATCGACTGCACCGAGGAGGAGATGATGCTGTTCGCCGCCCTGCAGGTAGGACTGGGGCTCTCGCGCGCTCCCTGCAGTCCGGTGTCCGGTGTCCAGTGTCCAGCGTGCGGTGACCCTCCTGCCCCTCCCTGCTCTCCCTCAGTACCACGTGAACAAGCTGTCCCAGACGGAGCCCAGCCTCGGCGCCACCTCGCCGGCCATGGACGACCTGGACTCCGCCCTGCAGTCCCTGGAGGTCAAGATGGAGGGAGAGACCACCAGCATCGACATGCTGGTGAGAGAGCACCCCTCTGTCTGGAGTACTGTACCCCACTGCATCACTGCACCCCTCTGTCTGGAGTACTGTACCCCACTGTATCACTGTATCCCACCATATCACTGTACCCCTCTGTCTGGAATGGAATACTGTACCCCTGGTATCACTGTACCCCGCTGTCTGCACCCCTGCACCTGGAGAGGGGAGTACTGGGGCACTGATGGGGGTGTTGGGGTGTTCCGATATTGTGGCCCTGGGGGCCGCAGGCTCATGCTCCTCTGTCTCCCACCAGGAGAGCATGATGGCTGTGCCGGAGCTCAAGGCCTACCTGAAGATCTTCCGGTAAGCAGGCGCCCCGCCCCGCCTCGCCCCGCCTCGCCCCGCCCTGCCGGCGCTGCGGTACGCTGACCCTGTGATCCCCCCCCAGGCCCAAGCGTCTGACCCTGAAGGGCTACAAGCAGTACTGGTTCGTGTTCAAGGACACCAGCATCTCCTACTACAAGAGCCAGGAGGAGGGATTCGGGGAGCCCATCCAGCAGATGAACCTCAAAGGTACAGAGCACACCGCCTCCAGCAGCAGGCAGACAGACCACCCGAACAATATA